TTCATCACTACTGACACTACTTTTCGCACTTTATGTCGGAGTTATGATATATAACGCGAAGATGTCTATGAAAGACAGAGACAACTGTCTGGACAATTGTACGGCAAAGCCGGCGGCCATTGAGAGGTCAGAGACCACACCATTGCTGAACGACAAGACTCTCATAGCATTGCAACAATTGGCCAAAAACTGTGACGAAAACTATGGAAAGTTTAGTACATTAAACAAGAAGAGCGGATACGAAGAGATTGTGGACAAGAAATTACAATTAGATGACAACGAGGACGACGACAGCTCTATCATGAATAACTGTTTTTGTTCACTCATCTTATCGCCGGTTTATATAGTATTTTGGGCGACAATGCCTAAGAGATGGCCGATTTGGACCTTTATTGTCTCCATTGCATATCTAACCGCACTTTCTTACGGCACCGTTTGGGCCATCAGTGGATTCAGTAATTAGATTCAAGTTTTAAATTATAATAATCGTAAAACTTAATTACATTATCTCATTGTACAGGTGATGCCCTATCCATTCCCCATACAGTATCCGGAATGACATTATTAGCAGCCGGTTCTGCGGGTAAGCATTGATTTTAAAAATAACTACAAAATTAGCAATTTTTAATTCAAACTAATGGTATTTTACGCATAACTTTAGTGCCTGATTTGGTCACGTCTATCATCGTGATCAAAAAGCACGGTCTGGCCTCAATGGGAATGTGCGCTGCGATCGCGTCCAACATCTTCGCCATTGTGGTCGGTTTGGGTCTGCCGTGGCTTTTGAAGTGTTTGATACAATTATATCAAACTAACGGCGATTACTCGATGGCGTTCATACCGATAGAGAGCGACGCCCTTCCCTATACATCCATCGTGTTATTGATTACGATTTTCGCACTCCTCTTATCATTAAAACTGTGCGATTGGCGACTCTACACAACACTGTCCCTAATCTGTGCCCTCATTCACCTTATCTTTATGGGCGCCAGTATTTCACTTGAATTGTTTGTTCACTCCTGAGATTGTGAT